CATGCTTGGGAGGGTGGAGGGACGGCGCAGGAGGGGAAGACCCTCTATGAGATGGACTGATTCGGTGACTGGGGTAATCGGGATGGGTGTGTTGGAGGCAGTGTGGTTGGCGCAGGATAGAGCAGGGTTTAGGGCTGTTGTGCATAGGGTCGCTATGAGTCGCAAAGGACTCGACGGCACATAACAACAGCAACATGTACTGTTTAGTGTTTAAGTCAATTGATTTTTAAAGTTGCTACTAGAAAACATTTTATAACACGTGAAGTAAAAGAAAGCAAATTAAAAATAATATATCAGTACAGATCAGATTTTTGAAGAATGCTTTCAATTTATCCATTTTCAGAAAAAATATATTTTAATAAATTTTCTTCAAATAGCCATGTTTTTAGATTCTTCTCCAAGGACCAGTCCCTCCTTACAACCAACATGACCAAAGTATGTCAGACGAAGCCTCAGAATCTTTGCCTCTAAGGAGTAGCCCGGTTTAACCCTCTCCAGGATGAATCTGTTTGTTTCCTTAGCAGCCCATGGTACCCTCAATAGTCTTCTCCAGAACCACAGCTCAAAGGCATCAATTCTCCTTCTATCCTCCCTAGTCATTGTCCAACTCTCTGATGCATAAGAAGTAATTGCAAAGACCATGGCCTGTATCAGACGCACCTTAGTCTCCAGAGAAACACCATTGCTCTTCAGTACTTTGGAAAGGTCCCTAACAGGAGACATTCCCATCACAATATGTCTTTTAATTTTCTGGCTGCTAGTGCTAAGAGTATTGACTGTGGAGACAAGCAAACTAAAGCTGTAAACAATCTCAATCTCTTCACCATCCATCCTGATGCTGCCAATTGGTCCAAGGGTGAGAATCTTTGTCTTCTTGATATCATGGAAATAGTTTGACAAAACTTTTCTGACAGCAGACAAGTTTTTAAAAACCATCTTTTTCCTTCTCTTAACTCTTAAGTCACACAAATCTGTATAATGTTGCTGTTGTTGTTAGGTGCTACTGAGTTGAGCACTACAGATTGGAACCCTGTCCTATCCTGTACCATCCTCACACTTCCTGACATATTGGAGCCCATGAGGGCACTCACTGTGTCAGTCCACCTGGTTGATGGTTTTCCTCTCTTCTGCTGACACTCTGCCTTTCTGAGTATCATGGCCATCTCCAAAGAACAGCCCCTCCTTGCAACATGCCCAAAGTATGTGAGGCAAAGTTTTATCATCTGCCTCCAAAGAGCATTGTATGTGCACTTTCTCCAATACATCTGTTTGTTCTTTTGACAGGCCAGGGGATTTTCAGCACTCTTATCCAACACCACAGCTCAAAGGCATCAATTCTTCTGTCATCCCTGTACATTGTCTTCCTCTTATTTTGATGCCACATTCTTCTTTACAGAGTCCAACTTCTCGAATAACTTTCTCAGCATACATATTGAATAGGTGTGGAGAGAGAATACCACCCTGACATACTCTGTTCCTTGTAGTGTTTCCTTGTTCTGTTCCCACAACAGCCTCTTGGTCTAGGTATTGGTTTTACACAGCACAAAGAACTGCTCCAGGATCCCCATTCTTCTCAACATTAGCCATAACTTCTTATCCACACAGTCAAATCCTTTTCATAGTTAATAAAGCATAAACACATTCTTCTGGTATTCTTTACTTTCATTCAGGATCCATCTGACATCAGCAATGATATCCCTGGTGCCACAGCCTCTTCTAAATCCTGCTTGAACTTCTGGCAGTTTCCTATCTATGTACTGTTTTAGTCATTTTAAAAATGATCTTCAGCAGTATTTGCTGAATGATACTAATGATTATTAATGATATTGTTTGACAAATTCCACATTCTGTTGTATTACTTTTCTTGGGAATGGAAACAAATATGGATCTCTTCCAATCAGTTGGCCAAACAGCTGTCCTCCAAATTTCCTGGCATAGATTGGTGAGCACATCCAGGGCTGTATCTGCTAACTGAAACAAGTCAATTGGTATCACATAGATTTCTGGGGCCTTATTTTTTGCCAGTGACTACAATGTAGTCCTCCTTTGTGGGGGGCCATGAACGGCCGCATGGTCGCCATTACAAGATGGCGCTGACTTCCTGCTTCTCTTTGTTTGCCAGAATCACAAATAAGACCTTATTTGGGCACTGTGTTCTCATTGGTTGATG